GATGATTTCAAAAATGTTTGCGCCAAGAGCATAAAATAAAACATGACCACGTTGTAATAGTTACTCCGAAGTACATATGTACATACAGATGTATGTATGTATGCAATTGCCGCAGTAACGGCAACGGTTGAATCAACACTAGTAACAAATTTAACAGCTGTCAAATTGAGTGCATTGCTAAGCTAGTAAAAATAAACAACAAAATATGTATGTTGCCAGAGCACACAATTGGCCCGACTGCTGAACACATCAAATAACAACAATAAAAGAGGCAACAAATTTGCTTAATACAAAAAGTTAACGTCTAAACATAGCAGGAATTTTCAAAAAGTGCAACAAATAAAAGAAGTGGCACTACACAGCTGCGACACGAAGTGGCAGTCGCCTTTATTTCGTTCGCCTTTAAAGTCTTGCGCCCGTTTTTGCTTTTGATATTAGTTACACTAAAATTTTGCAGCATTTCGCCACCACTGAAGACACCGGAGCCTTTGCAAGTGAGGGCAACACCTTGCAACAATAAGGGTGTTGCACGTTGCCGCTCAGCAAAACAACTCACCAACTAATAACAAAGCACTGCAGACAATAAGCGCCAGACAGCAAATAGCTGACTGCTTGGCCTCTAGCGCCAATACAAATAATAACAACATGACAACAGCAACAACACAAGCAGATATCAATACAAACACCACAACCGCCAACGAAGTTGTTGGTCACGTTGCAAGCGCTGTTGGTGGTGGCGGTGGAGGTGGTGGTGGTGGTGTTGACAATGGCTTGGGCTCGCCGCTGACAACGTCCATTAGAAATTCGAATGGTCTCACAAACCACACCAATAATTTCTATAGCAATTCATCGAATTCAAATTCAAATATTGGCAATAATGGCAGCACTACACCAACAACAACAAACAACAACAATCAGCGTGGTAAGTAGTTATTTAGTTGCACCATGTATGTACTGCATATTTCTGTGTGTTTGTAAGTAAAGAAATTTTCGGTTTGCTTTCGGGCATTTTAAGTTAATAGCAGCAATTTCGTTGAAGACCCTTCGGTGAGAAAGGCTACCTGGGCTATTTTAGTTTAACCTGAAAAGTTTAAATTGTTTGTTTTGTTTTTGGTAGCAACGGAATTCAATTATGCGGAAAGTGCAATCAAAGTAGCAAATAGTTTTGAAATAACTATATACTTATGTATGTACGTATGTATGTATATACATACATGTAGCGTAGAATCCTTTGAAACAAGGCTTATAGTTGGGCACGATTATTTTGAAAATGGTTGACTTTCTCAAAAAGAGCATTATTTTCTTTCTTTTTTGTTATCGTTTGCAATCTTTTATTGATAACTTCAATAATCACCGCATTTACCGGTCATTCTGGCAACTGTTTTCGAAAAACAAAATTATTTCGTAAGACAATAGTCAACTCTTGCAATTATTTTCTGTCTTTCGAAAGACTAATTGAAAGATCTGTTAACGAGGAGGTCTTAACGTAATACTGTGTGTTGCCTTTAGCAATAATTTTTCTAAAAATTAAATTAAATAAAAAATATTTGTTTTTTCTTTCTAAAACAATAAAAACTGAAAATTTAACTAAGAAACTTTGATAAATCGGAAAAGGCATTTTTTTTACTTGTTACCGCTTATTTAAAATTATATTTAAACTACTATTAAGACACTTTAAAGAAAAAATCACATACTTGGAATATTCTACAAGTTATCACATGTGACTCAAGGCCAACAATAATAAGCGACATCCGCA